TCACCTATGTAAACCGCTGAACATTATTTGCAGTTAAAACTGTAGACAATACGAGTGTTGTCTAATAAATCAGATTAGGAAAAGCCAAAGAAATAGAACTGTTCATGACCTGTTGTCTCAGGTCTGCTTCGAGAAATCCGCTGATGTAATATTCATCAGCGAGCAGTACCACAGCAGTATGAGAACTAACTCGGCACTGCGGCCGTTTGGATTCCGGACCTGAAACGGTTCCATGTATCGAGCCGTGAATCCGAAAAGAGTTTGAGTGAAGTGCCGCGACGTGACTTATATGAGCTACTTAAAATGGGGGGCAGACAGATAGTGGCCGGAGATCTGAATGAGAAAGTTCTCGAGTAGGGTTATGAGTGTCCGGACTCCAGAGGAAGCCAGGTCATGCACATGGTGCCCAGACTCGGGCTGGTTGTTCTGAACACCGGCCAATCTTCCACCTTTCGGAGGCTGGGCTACAGTGAGACCATCGTAGATATCTCTCTGGCCACGGAAAGCTTGGTGGCGTACGTACACAACTGGTGGATGACTCAGGATTATACAGCCAGCGATCACCAGTACACGTAACACAGTCACGTTTCACGTTAGCAATGTGCTGCTGGTTGTGCAATTAAGCATGCGCGGCCCACCCAGGTGGAACGTTGTTAACATGATCACCGATAAATTATCTCTGGCCCTTCAACAAGATTGGCTTGTCTCGTCTGGAATCCCGGTTGGCTTAACACCGTCCGAGCGGGCGAAGGCTGTGATTGTCGCTGCCATACATGTCATACGCCCGGTCTTCGAGGAGATGTTGGTGAGAAAATAGACGTCCTGTCTACTGGTGGACGAACCAGATCGCGGAGCTTTGACGTAATTGTTTGGGGCTCCGAAAACGCATTCAAAGGAGCTGAGTTTGCGCAGAAGTAGTCCTAACAATGGCCGATTACAAATTGGAACTTCATCGGGCCATCAAGTCCAGTCAGCACCGATGCTGGAGAGAGCTGGAAGGGGATATTAATCGGGATCCCTGTGAATTGAAGTATAAAATCGTTACCCGCAAATTGGGGACCTTCTAGCGGAGCAGGCATACTGACACGGAGACGATGCACGTTATCATCGATGCCCTTGCCTCCTCCCCCCCCCGCATCCTAGCAGACGAGAATCCTCTCCAAGTTCTATAGACCTGGATGCTTCGACCTTCACGGAGGAAGTACTCCGAAAGCCCGCGAGCACAATGAAGAACAAAAAGACACCAGGGCCGGATGAATTTCCGTCAGAGGTACTGAAAGCCGAACCGAAAACAGACCCGAGCTCTGGCTGTATAAGTACAACGCATGTCTAAAAGCAGAAACCTTTCCTTCTCGCTGGAAGGCCGCAAGACTTGTGCTTCTCAGCAAGGTTAAGGGGCCAGGAGATGATCCATCGTCGTACAGACCCCTGTGCACATTGGATACCGCCAGCAAACTCCTAGACAGGCTGTTGCGATCTCACCGTCAGAGGGTCGTACAGGCTGCGGATGACCTCCACCGCAGTCAGTACGGCTTCCAAAATGGAAGATCGATGATTGACGCTATCCAGGAGGTTGTGAGGGCTGCCAGGGCCATAGAGCAGAACCGCTAGTCTTGTGCCGTCTGTCTATTGGTATTACTCAACATGAAAAATGCCTTCAACTCGCTGAGATGGACTGATGCTCTAGACGCACTGGAGCGGGACTTCAGTGTCCCTGATTACATACGTCGCATGGTCGGGGATTACCTATAGAACCGTTTTCTAATGTACGAGACATAGGATAATCAAAGGCGAAAAGAAGCGACTGCTGGAGCGTCCCAGGGCTCTGTCCTCAGTCCTGACATATGGAATTATCTTCTATAATAGAATCCTGAGGATAGAGATATCGTTCTGGTTGGGTACACGGATGAATACGCAGTCGTCATCACCGGGAGGAATGAAGAAGTGTCAGATGCGACTCAATCACGTCATGCGACACGTCATGTTCTGTACGGGTGCCAGATCAGAAAGACGGCAGACAAGGCGGCGTGCATGACGGCGAACATGAGAAGAGTAATGACTAACATCGGTGGCCACGACCCTGCAAGAGATGTCTGCTCTTGCGCATTGCAGAGTCCATAGTGCTATACGGATCAAACATTTGAGCTGATGCGCTGTAGTTACAGATCCATCGAAGGAGGATCGACGCCGTGCAGCGGAGAAGGACCCTCCGCATCGCATGCTCCTACCGCACAATCTCCGAATTAGAAGCGCTGGTCATAGCGGGTGTAACGACCATTGACCTCTAGGTCAAAGAACGAAGATTCATCCACCAGAAAAAAGAGTACTTATGGCAAAAAAATTTGCAGAGCACAGCCTTTTCCGCACGTATCTCTATAAAATGGGGAAGGTGGCGAAGCCCAGCTGTGCCTATTGTAGGTGCGCCCATGAGGATGCCCTTTATATATTTTTCGTATGCAAAAAGTGGGGGCGAAGAGAAGGGAGCTTCAGGAAGAGATCGGGTACATCAGGCATGAAAATATCATAGGTCTAATGCTCCAAGGAGAAGAGACGTGGATCAAGATCATTTGCTTTGTCGAGTCCGTCTTGCAGCAGAAAATGGACAAGGATTCAAGGAGTGGAATATTTCGTATGAAGATTGAAGAAGCCTAAGCGGATGATGACTTGAAGTAATCCCACCCTGAAGTAATGTCAAACGATGGTTCCAAGATGAGATCCCAACCAGAGGGACAGCGGCACAGAGGTAGTTTAGGGAATATTTCAGACCTCGCTCTACACGCCTCATAATGCCCATACACCGAGGGGTGGAATAGGAGAGCCCCCTGAAAGTCCGTAAGTGGAATCCTCCACTTAAAAAAAAATTATTATTATTGTTATTTTTTTTTTTTTTTTTTTTTACAAGGAGTTGCGGAATCCTTTTTGCGGATTCCCCTTAGTCTTGATCTAAGGAGGTATGTTGGACTCCCCCCCCAAAAAAAAAGACAGGCCTACCCACTAAACCGCCATCTCCTTGTTGTCCTTGCCCCAGCCAGGGACTATGTTGATATTACTTCTGACTGGGGGTTCTGTCTGTGTTCGTTCCTTCGTATCGTTTCACCGTGCGTCGTTACGTCGCGTCAATCCGTCTGCTCAGTCGTCCTTCAGACAGTCGTCCGCGTTCTTACGTCTTAGTATGGTTTCCGTATAGGTAGCGACTAAACGCCACCATTCGGGTTTATGCAGCATCACCTCTACAATGTTATCGGGGGTAATGTTGCCAACTGTTGTCTCTAGTTCTCGTTTGAGTCTTGTCCAGCGGTCGCACCCGAAAAACGTGTGTTCCGCGTCGTCTCGTTCGTGTCCACAATACTTGCAGTCGGGTGTTCGTACTCTGTTCATATTGTGGAGGTACCGTCGAAAGTATTATTATTGTTATTATTATTGTTGTTATTATTATTATTATTATTATTATTGTTGTTATTATTATTGTTATTATTATTGTTATTATTATTATTATATCCCTATCATCCCAAGCTTATATTAAAAATTAGCCAGTTCATTAGCCCTGCGATATGTTCTTCGTGTGAACATTTTTTATCAATGTGGGATCTATAATCCGACATTCTAGTCATTTTTATCTATTAGCAATTAGAATTTCATATGTATAGAGGAAGTGAATAGGGGTTCCCTCCTCCGAACACCATTTTCATAGGTTATTGAATTTTGTGTTTTATCCGTGAAATGTCGAAGCTCACAATATCTAATTAAAGTTTCTAGAATAATTTCCATAAAGTGTAATATTAAAATACTTATTACTCGTTTTGTAAAATAGATAGAACAATATTATTTTTCGCTTATCAATTACTATAGAATGTAACGGGGTGGATATCCGTCTATTTAATTATGCGCGCTATCGCATCGAAGAGCACGCGGGATTACCTAAACGTTCAAGTTCGAAAATCGGAGAGCAGGAGGGAATGGGCGTCAGTCAACCAACTTTCTATTAGCGCGAAATAATAACATCGAAATTACATACAATATCACATGCGAAATTGTTTATTTCCTCTTATCTCTACAATGTATTAGGCCCGCGTGTTTATGTTTACAAAGCGCGCGCGCGCGACAATAACATGCAGTGTCGGATCGGTCGCCGCTCTTTGTCGTCGAGTTAATACATACACGCTTCTTATGGAATACGAGACATTAGTTAGTAGCAATCATAGCAATCACGAAATTAAGCTGACCAGCTTACCTTATTAGTAGTCGCACGGTGAACGAGAGAAAAAGTTCGTAATCAAGTTTCGGGGAAGTCCGCTTCTGTGACCAAGCGGTTCTCGGTTTCGATTTCGCCCTCGATGGCGAAACCCCTCACTCACACACGCTTACACGCACTCATCTCCGTCAGGCGATGGCACAGCTTCTGTCTGTCCTAATCAGCTCGTCTCGACACTCAGGAAAACTCGGGAAAAACTCTCTTTGTTGCAGCTGTGTGCTCAGGTTCTAATCCTCGACTGATTCATTTTCGGATTCGCGCGAGATCCGTCCCGTCTCGTGCCGAATTCCCTCATTACACATTTGCCCCAACCGATAGGTGTTGCCCTCGCAGGCAGCCGCATGGTTGAGCTGTTAGCGCTAATAAGACGTTTATCGTCACAAGGAACATCTTTAATTTATCGAAAAGGTAATTGCGTTTTTAAAATAACGCAACTAATGCCGGTACAATTACTACTATTATAGAAATACTTTTTACACTATTATAACTGTTAGACTATTTATATTTTAATTAGGATATTATATATAACAACTATAGAATTTTGAGAAAATTTTTTACTACTTGGAAATCAAGAGGTTACTTCGACTAACTCTGTAAAAGTTAGAAATAATGTAAGTAGTGATATCAGTTCTTTAGGCAAAGATATTTAGAGTATTCAAGAAAGTATTCTTATAAATGTACCCTAGAATCCCCTTTGTGACAGCCTCCTTACGAATTAGAAAAAAATAGGCCAAATGATATTACTCACCTAAAATTTTCGCAAAATATTCCCATAGCATAGGTATATCAATAATCAAATCAGGAGATGCTTCAATAATTTCTCTTAAGCTGAAAATAAAAAAAGATTAAAGTTATTATTTAAAGGAAAAATATGAAAAAATTAATATCTTCATTCAAAAAGTTTTAATATACAAATTGAATAACATGAACAAACAACGTATTGCTAAATCCTATGCTAAGTAATCTAAGTAATTAATCTTTTTCAATACATGTTTAATGTCATCAACATATCGGTAATAAAACAACGAAGTGCAATAAAATTTTTCTTTCGGTGTTCGTAGACAGCAAATTTCTATTATAATATTAAAAAAAAATGCAGGATATACATGACCCCATCGGAGTACCAAATATTTATTTAAATACTTTATTATTGAAATGATAATAAGTATCATTTAATAGAAATTTTACTATAGCAATAATATGTGCGTAGGAAATTTTCGAAAACGTGCGTATCATTGAAAATAATTTGTCTAAACTATTGACAACCAATTCATCCCGTACGCTTGTAAATTATAAGGTTACGGCAAATGGGAGAATACGTCTGGAACTGGAGCGAAAAAGGAGGATAAAGTAGCCTCATATGCGCCATATACAGCCAGGAGGATCGTTGTAAAAAAAGGCCGATAGAATTTGATATGCAATAGGCATATCGATACCCGCGCCCGGCGGTTACAGTATCGGAATACCCTTGCGCGCGTATAGCCTCGTGAGAATCCGCGGGCTGGGCGCATCGTGCAAAAGGAAGAAGAGTCTCAAGTGTCTTTGAGTTAGCAGGCGAAGAAATAGCGGAGCAGTTTGTGGCCCTACGTGCGGTAATCTTTTCTCGATCTTTCATTGCGCCATGGGCCATACGTGCAGCGGCAGCCCACCTTCCGCGCACAGCCAGAGTAATAACGCAGTATCGGAGGCGAAGTCGTAAGCTGCTTTCGCAGCTACTTGCGATGGCAGCAAGCGGCGCAGAGAGCACAGACAGAGTCGCAGAGCGCGCGAGAGAAACAGCGAGCGCTCGATTATTTATGGCAGAGCCGTGCCGAGCATACGCATCCGCAACCCGCAGATTTAAGCGACGCCAGCTATCCGCCCTCTCTATTTTCCTCTTCTGACTCATGCACACGCTGCATTTGTATTTATATCCTTATTTTCGCGCTCTTTATTTCATTCTTTACCGCGGACACGAATCGCCTGCCTCGAGGGGCGCGGCGTGCCACTTGGTTCGCTATTATATATTATTCGAGTTTCGTTCGCGCGCGAGCGCCAGATAATTATCGCGAGCTCAGCCCCCTTCCCTGAATATCACCCTCCTTCTCTTCTTATTTATTACGGTTGCCTAATTAACGCTAACGATAAAAAAATGTAATAATTTGACAAGAAACAAAATTTCAGAATTGCTTTATTACGTCAGGTTTTTGAGTAATTTTAATCTAAAAGTGCAAAACACATGATTTTTAGCATTATTTAAAAATAATAACTTCGCAACTGTGTGATGTCACTAATCACTTATTATTTAGTTCGTACTCTCGTGATCTCTCGCGCTATTGTGTAAGAATTTGTTTCAAACTAATTTATGTAAATACGAGGTGTGTTCAAAAAGTAACGAGAATTTTTAAATTTCGCGGGGTCGGAGAGACCGCTTGTATAAAATTTTTTGTTATTATGTTGGTACACATGCCCCTGAAGTACGATAAAATTTTCAGCAATATTCATTGCTTACTTTTTAAGTGGCAGCCGCTAACGTTAGACGTGTTTTTCGAGCTCGGCGATTTTCGTTTGTGAAAAAAAATGGATCAAAGAATTTGTATTAAATTTTGCATAAAAAATGAAATAAAGTGTAGTAAATTTTGTCAAATGTTAACAAAGGCATATAGTGAGTCTGCTATGAGTATAGCAAGGATTTATGAGTGGTATAAGCGTTTCCAAGATGGCCACGAAAACGTTGAAGATGACGAACGACCCGGACGCCCAAGCACATCAACAACCGATGAAAACGTGAAAAAAGTGAAAGAAATGGTTATGAACGATCGCCGAATCACAATCAGAGAAGTCGCTGATGATGTTGGCATATCAGTTGGCTCATGCCATCAAATTTTTTCGAATGTTTTGGGTACGAAACGTGTGGCAGTAAAATTCGTTCCGAAATTGTTGAATTTCGAACAAAAACAGCGGCGAATGGAAGTTGCTCAGGAGTCGCTAAATGAAGTCAATAACGATGCAGAACTACTAAAACGTGTTATAACAGGTGACGAAACATGGGTTTATGGATATGATGTCGAAACTAAGGCTCAATCGTCCCAGTGGAGGCATTCTGGATCGCCAAGACCGAAAAAGGCTCGACAAGTGCGGTCGAATGTGAAGGTTATGCTCACTGTGTTCTTCGATTTTAATGGCATAGTGCATTATGAATTCTTGCCACAAGGTCAAACAATCAATAAGCAGTATTACCTACAAGTTCAACGTCGTTTGCGTGAAGCAATCCGAAAAAAACGCCCGGATTTGTGGCAAAACAATTCATGGCTTTTGCACCACGATAATGCGCCTGCTCACACTTCATTGCTTGTTCGTGAATTTTTGGCCAAAAACGAAACTGTAACGATGCCTCAGCCTCCATATTCGCCAGATATGGCTCCATGTGACTTTTTTCTATTTCCAAAAATAAAGAGAACATTAAAAGGCCGTCGTTTTACAAGCATAGATGACATTAAAAGCGAATCGCTGAAAGAGCTAAAAGCTATTACAAAGATCGAGATTCAAAAGTGTTTCGAGGATTGGAAAAAGCGTTGGCATAAGTGTATTGTATCCGAAGGGGACTACTTTGAAGGCGACAACATTAATGTAGATGAATAAATAAATATTTTTTTCATAAAACGAAAATTCTCGTTATTTTTTGAACACACCTCGTATATCTGAAATTATTTATGATGTATAATTTGATTTTAAAGTTGAAAATCAAATTTATGTAATGAAAATATATAATTATTTAGAATGGAGCTATGGAAAGACAGGCTTTGTCCTAGTTTCTCATGGTGCGAAGTGTCCCATAAGCAGAGCATAAGTGTAATGGAAAAAAGGATGTAATTCAGCCCAATTTTCTCATTGCGCGAAGTGTTCTATGCGCCGAGCATAAATCATAATAGGAGAAGGGAAGCTTATTTAGCTAATCACAAGAGAGATATAACTCAGGTATAAACCAAGTTTATTTAATCTTAAGTGCTTATTTAGCAAGGCTAGGATAATACTCCTAACCTGTGCAAAATTGAGCCTAATTATACATAGATTTTAGAGCCTCATTTACGCCGAATAGATTTTTTCACGCTGTTTCTGCAAATGTGGAAAATCATTTTCTCTTATTTATAATAAAACGGACAGCGCTAAAGAAGATTTAAGTAGTGTAAAAAATACAGAATGTAATATAGATAATTGACGCATAATTCGCAATTGTCGCAAAAATCGTAGTTAGAACTTATTAACTAACAAAGTCAGTTAATCCAATAATGCAAATTTTTAAAATAATAAAAATTTTTTACATAGAAAAATAACTTATCGCTTATAGACATCATTACAAACAAGAAATACTTTTTTATTTAGTGATAACAATAGTAACTAAATTGCTATCAATAAAACGAATTCTAACTCATGTTCCTAAGATTGTCATCTCAAGCTCAGAGTATCCGGTTTATTATAATAATTAATATTTGAAAAATTATAAAAAAATTAAGTTTGTACATTAAGATTCAATGATATTCAAGAGCTAAAAGTACTTAAAAACATGATAACCTTAATCTATGCCCTAAAATTTACATAAAAAATACTTTGGTTCATTGAAATTACTATTAATAACACATTTTCATTAAATAATAAAAATTGGCATATCTATATCTACGAGGTGTGTTCAAAAAATAACGAGAATTTTCGTTTTATGAAAAAAATATTTATTTATTCATCTACATTAATGTTGTCGCCTTCAAAGTAGTCCCCTTCGGATACAATACACTTATGCCAACGCTTTTTCCAATCCTCGAAACACTTTTGAAACTCGATCTTTGTAATAGCTTTTAGCTCTTTCAGCGATTCGCTTTTAGTGTCATCTATGCTTGTATAACGACGGCCTTTTAATGTTCTCTTTATTTTTGGAAATAGAAAAAAGTCACATGGAGCCATATCTGGCGAATATGGAGGCTGAGGCATCGTTACAGTTTCGTTTTTGGCCAAAAATTCACGAACAAGCAATGAACTGTGAGCAGGCGCATTATCGTGGTGCAAAAGCCATGAATTGTTTTGCCACAAATCCGGGCGTTTTTTTCGGATTGCTTCACGCAAACGACGTTGAACTTGTAGGTAGTACTGCTTATTGATTGTTTGACCTTGTGGCAAGAATTCATAATGCACTGTGCCATTAAAATCGAAGAACACAGTGAGCATAACCTTCACATTCGACCGCACTTGTCGAGCCTTTTTCGGTCTTGGCGACCCAGAATGCCTCCACTGGGACGATTAAGCCTTAGTTTCGACATCATATCCGTAAACCCATGTTTCGTCACCTGTTATAACACGTTTTAGTAGTTCTGCATCGTTATTGACTTCATTTAGCGACTCCTGAGCAACTTCCATTCGCCGCTGTTTTTGTTCGAAATTCAACAATTTTGGAACGAATTTTGCTGCCACACGTTTCATACCCAAAACATTCGAAAAAATTTGATGGTATGAGCCAACTGATATGCCAACATCATCATCGACTTCTCTGATTGTGATTCGGCGATCGTTCATAACCATTTCTTTCACTTTTTTCACGTTTTCATCGGTTATTGATGTGCTTGGGCGTCCGGGTCGTTCGTCATCTTCAACGTTTCCGTGGCCATCTTGGAAACGCTTATACCACTCATAAATCCTTGCTTTACTTATAGCAGACTCACTATATGCCTTTGTTAACATTTGACAAACTTTACTACACTTTATTTCATTTTTTACGCAAAATTTAATACTAATTCTTTGATCCATTTTTTTTCACAAACGAAAATCGCCGAGCTCGAAAAACACGTCTAACGTTAGCGGCT